CTTACTTTCTTTTATTTTAGATTATGTCATATTCAGTGCTTAATACATTTTACCATCAATATCTGGCATAAAATGAAACTGAACAGAATGAACAGAAACATAAATAATCATGTAAAAAAGGCCTTTCAGACATAAGAAAACCTCAGAACAATGCTAAGATATTGGAGCTGAGCCTCAAAGGCCTGTTAAGATTTTCATATAGATATTTTCAGCCTCTTTCAGCAAAACATGGTGGTTATTGTAAAATCTGGCGATGTGGCACCTTCCCAGTGCGGTCAGTGGTGTTTTATGTGTCCAGCTTTCTGCATTTGTTGTCTCTCCCACCTCATGAAACCAAGTTTTATGAGGAGAAACCATGTGGAAAACCAGCTGAGCCTGTTTTTTGGTGTCAATATTTTGGAGTCAGTCGATTTTGTCTCTTTTTTAGTTGCTAAAAAATAAATTCATATGTAGACTTTTCTCAGAAATTGTGTCTGTGGTGTGAAAAGAGAGGATCCCACTTGAGTTTTTCATGAAAGAACTTATATTTCTAACGGACCAAAACATTTTTTTATCATCCCTACAGCTGACAAAGTTCAGGCCCTAACGGAAAAAGGGAAGAGTGGAATTAATCACAAAGAGTGGAGTCTTTTTTAGCTTACTGTCTCTCCAAGCAACATGAAACAGCAAAACCACAAAAATCAAGTCACGTGAAGCCAGTTAAGGGACAGAAAAGTCATGAGAGAGTGTTGAGCAAACACAAAGAGGAACCTCAGTCACAAGCTGAGACCAGTCGGGGGTAACATGACCCGTTTCTAACATTTCTAAAGGTGATGAACTCTGATTGTTGTTGAGCCAAACGGCCGATTTTGGATTGTTTATGCAATTATGACCACCTGACTCCTTCTGTTGCCCCGATCAATAAAATCAGTCAAGAATCAATAACATTTTTGAAGAGGCTCAGTTTGACTGTTTGATTTTCTTTCTGTTTTAATGATTTTTCTTTTCCTTTTCTCTATTCTCTCGTCCGTTTTTAAAACGTTATTATTTTTACCTTTTTTATTTAACTTATTTCTTCCTTTTTTTCTTCCTTTTTTTCTTCCTTTTTTTCTTCCTTTTTTCTTCCTTTTTTCTTTCTTTTTTCTTCCTTTTTTACTTCCTTTTTATCTGTATTTTTCTCTCTTTTCCTGTCAGGTTTGGCATTAACCATTTAACTTCTGTAACAAAAATAAATCTTAAATAGATAATAAAGCCGGATTGGATGAGCAAAAGCCTCCCTTGACAAAGCAAAAGTTTTGGGAAGAGAACATTACTCTGTTTCCATAATGCTGAACACAACAATGGGTTAAAAAACTGAATTAAAATAAAAAGAAGATGTTTAATTTGCAGCCAGTTCGGCTTCTCAAACAGAAAGTTTCCTTTATTTCTTTCTTTCTTTCAGCCGATAATGAACATGCCAGAAATCCAGCGTTATGAGAGGAGCTCAATCTCAATCTGGACCTGGAATACTTTTCCTTTTTGCTCCAGTCATCAGAAAATTGAATCAGTCAGAGATAAAGTCCCCACCAACTCGGATTCGTTTCTTCTTTGAGCTTCTTCTGATATGAATCAGTTTTCCGTTAAAGCCTGAGATGCATAATTCTGATTAAGGGGCCACAGAGATACCCATCTCCTCTATTCACCCAAAAAAGAATATACATTTATTATATATTTCTAAGAATATATGTAACCCAGAAAACATGACAAGAGAGATTAACTTTAGTTAAAACCAGGAAATGCTGCATATTTATCATCTTTTTAAAGCTTCAGACATCAGTTATAAAAAAGATTGTCAGGTTTTTTTTCATTAAAAACACACAAAAAAATATTTTTAATTGAAACTATGCTGAAACTGTGGGGAATTTTGATAGGACTCATTCCTGGAAGCTGCACAGATTAATGTATTAGGTCATAATCCAGGAGATTTGCCTTTACTTTTCACTGGATATGAGAAAAAAACAGAAAATAAATGCTTTTTTGCGTTGAGAGTTCAGATTTCAGCTTGTTGTCCTCAGCACAAACCTGCTTCCTGAATATTTAGATGCATTCAGATGAGCAGAAACAGATGAGATGCTTTATATTTAGTTCTTCTTTTAATATTCAGACCTCCCTCTGATCTCTTTTTAAGGAAATTTTAATTTTGAATGAGCCGTTTCTTGTTTTGACATCGTAATTGGTGTTTCCTCGAAGGGTTCCTGATTAAAAACAGAGACAGCAGAAAGCTGAATGAGCTCTGAGTGGGAGAGGAGTCCAAATCCCTTAAAGAAGCTGATTTTTGAAGGGTTTGAGATTTTTGTTGAGAGGAAATCAGAGTCTGAGTCAGGAAACTTTCAACCTGATTTCCTCTTTTGTCTCCTTTGAAACAGAGAGGATTAAAGCAGCTGGAGCTCAGTTTAGTGGCTGATTCAAACAGGGATAAGTCCCAATTTTAGGATTTATGAAGCTGTTCAGCAGG